TTATTAGTTAGTTAGTTAGTTAATAGTATATATATATATATATATATATATATATATATATATATATATATATATATACATATATATATATATGTGTGTATGTATATGTATATGTATATACATTTATATGTATTATTTACATATACACATATCCATATATATTATATGTGTGTGTGTGTGCTTAAATGCATATGTGTCTGTGTGTGCCCATGTGTCTGTGTGTGTCCGCATGTATGTTGTATCGCGGCATGGTGTCCGTGTGCGTTTAAATATAAACATATGTATTTCTGTGGAGTAGTTCATCCTTGAGAGAACCCATAGTACAGGCACCAACAAACCCCTTTCAGATTCTCCGTTTCACTTCTGTGCGTATACATATACGTACGAGGCTAAACCGGCCTTATACCTTTGTGATACCAACCACTGACGTACATGGACGTGCAGCTTATTAACTGGGTACGACAGTTATTGCCTTGCTTGTATCTGGAAACTAACGTGACCCTTTTGCATTCGTACACGCTCCTTGCATTCTTACTTAATTACCTACTCATCTACCTACCATTGCACCTACACACCTACGCTTTCACACAGACGCGCGTGGACGTACAGCTCATTGACTGGGCCAGGCGGTCGTTACCACAGGAATGCGTTGCATTGGCAAGGCAAACGTTTATGGATCGGTTTGATGAGTGTGTGCGAGGGGACGGCAAGAGCTCGTTGAAGGACAGCCCAGACATCTTCGTTGCACTGAAGGAGAAGATCGTATCGGATTCCATGCAGAAGCATGCGTGGCACCGGGATGTGAGCGACAACCTCAGGGTTATCCAGGTACGCCTATGAGTTTCGTTGCGGCCGTGCAATACATGCCCGGGTGGTTTGGGATGGGGCTTGGGATGTCTGTGTATAGATGGGTGATGTGTGTGTGTGTGTGTGTGTGTGTAGATGGGTGATGTGTGTGTGTGTGTAGATGGGTGATATGTGTGTGTGTGGGTGTATTGATAAGTGATGTGTGTGTGTGTGTGTATATAGATGGGTGATATGTGTATGTGTGTGTATAGATATGGGGTATGTGTATGTGCGTGTATAGATATGTGGCAAGTATGTGTGTGTCGTGGCATCTATGGAAAGATGAGACTTCATACTGATCCCTATATACAATAAAATCTAGACCAAACACATACTCTTTTTACATTATATGCGGATATCTCGGCCAAGCACACATGCTTGTTCGCACGATTTATATTCAGATCGTGATCGTGGAGGGTGATGTGATCAGCGATGTCGGTTGGTGGTACATGGATGTAGCTGCTCCGTATATTCATTAGATGTGAGTGGCGTGTATATGATTTTAGTAGGATGCTACTGTGCTATGGATATAACTAGTGGGCTATCCTCCACTTATTAGAGGCAGAAGACCAATCACCCACTTCTCGTGTCATTTTGTATTGTATCGAATACGGACAAATGTTTCTCACGGTGACGGTATAGTCTGATTAATCTCATGGGTTTATCGCCTTTTATATCTCTACCAATGACATCTCATCGTGGCGTCATATATTTGTATTCAATACTAGGCAACCATTGTCGCAGTGTTTGTTTAGTCCACCTCACTTACAGACGCCTACCCAATTATTTATATATATATATATATATCGTACTAATCTATACCTACTGCACCCGTATTCAGACCAATTCATTGGAGGATGATGAGATCACTGACGCGGGTCAGTGGTACTTAGCTGTGGACTTCATGCAGAACAAACTGCAGCGCGAAGCCACTGCCTTCAGCTCCAAGATGCGCGAGTACTTTGGCCCTGGGTGGACGGAGCGCTGGTTCTACTGGACCTCGGGTACTTCTGAACAGGTGGGTGTCCATATTACTTGGTCTGGGAGTCGTAGCTGTAGTACACCCAGACTGTTTGAAAATGGGCCGGTCTGACCCGGCGGATCCATACAGGGCGTACGTGCGAGTGGTGCCTCGGGTTCCGGTGTCCATGCTATGTAGCATTGCCTCGTAGCTCGGAACTTTCTCTACCTAATACCTATTTGACACTGTTTTGACACTTTCTCTGACACTTTTATTCACACTCTTTTGGCCCTTCCAGGCAATCCATGCGAGCATTGCCTCTGAACTCGGCGCTTTCTTTAAGCCTGAGCGAGACGGCGCCATTCCCAAAGCGAAGTTACACCACGATAGCATCATCACCGTCAGGAACAACATCCTGCAGAACACGGGCGAACACGTGTCTGACGCACAGGTTGGTTGAGCTATACATCACATGTATGAGTGTGTATATATGCATCAAATGTATATATATATATATATATATGTATGTATATGTATATGTATATGTATATGTATGCATGTATATATACACATCAATATATGAGTATACATGTACACATCAAATACATGAGTACATTTATATATATATCAAATGTATGAGTGTGTATATATACATCAAATGTATGAGTGTTTATATATATATTTATTGTATGAGTATATATATGCGTCTGTATAGCGGTATTATGTCATGGGATAGTACGAGTATTCTAGCGTCTGTCGAACTCATCCAAATATGATTTGTCGAAATTTGATGCCTTCTCATCATGCTGAGCATGGCTAATTTTTTATTGAATACTAGATCGCGCGAATCATAGGCCATCTTTCCACGTGAAATCGCTATAACTGGTCAATTTGTAGTGTCATTCTCTGCAGATACATGTTTTGTGTCAGTTGTATTTGATCTTGAGCTAATCATGGAATTGGGTTGTCCTCACAGCGCCGCTAGCCATATCTCTAATTAACACTCACCGCCATGCAATGTTATGGGGTGTCGATAGTACTTTCATCAATGAGCGATGTGTCTCTGTATGGATTTATTCATATATTTACCTATCTATCTATATCGATTTATCTATCCATATATATATATATGTGGGTGTGGGTGTGGGTGTATGATGTATGTATGCATTTATGTATTATGCATACGGATTTTTAGATGTATAATCATCTATACTTATTGATCCCTTATTTCGAACAATACTTTTCCCTCACAGATAATTGATGTGTACAACAAACTCTACACTGGAGAGTTCTTAAGCCGAAGCGTCCAGTCCGCCTCGTACTGCAAGTATGTGTGTCTTGCTTTGACTTTTGTCTATTTCTCGATCGCTGTGCATCGATATACCTGTTTGTGTAAAAGATATCTGTACGAATGTATCCACTCCATGCTATGGTAGTATTCATACGTACACGTGCATGTATTGGCCATTGTGCTCACCCCTGCACTCATGCGATAGTTATATGGCGTGCACACATAGTCTGGAGTATATATCATTCACTCCACATTTATACTGTATTGCTCATGCGTATCTAGCTTAGAGTGTGCCTTAATCTCTTTTCATCTAGACTACACACGGTAGCGAGTATTTGTCACACACATATGGTGACTTTATTAATATTGTCATGTGTACGATCTGATCAAGTATGTACATACTTCTCTCATCATCCCGATTATTCTATCGTACACAGAGCCAAACAGTTGTCAGGCACGCGATATACACTGTAGGACCATTGTACTGTCTGTATTACGATTGTACAACGTTTCTACATGTCCTTCTACAAACACACGATAATTCCTCGAAACTTTCATATTTCTATCACGATGAGAATCGAATCGTGTATGCGTTAGTATCTTCTAATGTAGTACATACACAGAAGTAAATACTCGGCAAACAGGTGATTGACACTGCATGTCCATTGGACTATCCCTATTGCAATTGCTGAAAGGTGTTCCCTGTCCTGCTACACCTACCATACACAGAAGTAAGTACTCGTCGAACTCGCGCGATGCACCGAATGGCCTGAAGTGCAAGGATGTGGTTATGTTCTGGCGAGTGCAGGAGATGCTGCATGTGACAGCCAAGACACTGAGGCAGCAGATCATGTACCACCAAGGTATGTGTCATGTCATGTCATGTCATGTCATCAGTTTGGGGTATTGCCTACTCTGGCAAATAGTTATGGGGTTGAGAGAAGCTACAGGATTTCGTATATCGTTGGCTATAGAGCATTGCGTGTGTATACACCGTTAATACGTATATATATCTATGTGTATGCGTATGCGTATGTGTATATGTATATGTATATGTGTATGTGCATATATATATATATATATATATATATATATATACATATATATATATATATATATATATATATATATATATATATATATATATATATATATATATATATATATATATATATATACATACACACACATATATATATATATATATATATATACTATAACGTTGTACTCTAAAGTCGAAGTCAGTTACGTAGTCGTATTACGNGTTATAGTACGTAGTCTAATGTACTGTNACTGTACNTAGTCGTATAGT